GTAAGCCATGGGTACAAGGATTGCAGGGGATGGGTCTAGGTGGGTAAGCCATAGGTTACAAGGATTGCAGGGGATGGGTCTAGGTGGGCTGCTCTTTAGAGTGGGGTGTAGACTCAATGGGGCCAAATGACCCCCATCTTCATTCTAGGGATTCTATGATACTCCATTGATCTAAAGAAATGGACTGGCTAGTTTACTAATAAACGGTGACAAATAAAAGTTTAGTCAAGCTTGTTTGCATGTTTTCTTGCTTTCTCTTGTAGTGCGGGAATAAATCACCCCAGCAACAAGGAGACAAATTTCTTAAACAGTACAGTCCTGAATGATTCCCTCTGTTATTGAGAGCAGTTTTATGACTATTCGGAGACATTGATTAATAAGGAAGAATATAACTTTTGATATTGTGGTAGTCAAATGGTTTAATGTTAAACTATTTTAGTGCTTCATATAAAAAATACCCTTCGCCCTCTTTGACACGAGTTAGTAATTTGTTAGTTTGCTTACTGCTCCAGAACACGTTGATGATTTTTTCTCGTTTTTGCTGAGAGAGTTTTTCCTGCACTGCTGTGGCATTCTCAGTCTGGAGTATGGCTGGTCTGGAAGAATGAATGGGAAGAATTGTAAAAGATTAGAACGAGATGCTGCTGGAACACTTTGATGTAGGAGGGAAATGTAGAAGCAGAAAGTGGCCATTCAGCCTGTCAAACCCGAGTCAATGAGATCATTAATTCTAATTCCTGAGTTGGGTCCATTCCATATTGTTTTTGTCAAATAAAAGTCTATCACACTCGGTTTCAAAAAGATCGAAAATTGATCCTGCATCTTCAACAGAGAGGACTCTGGATTTTCATTAGAGTTGGAGTGAAGTGGTGCTTCTTGATATCCCCCCTCAAAGGCCTGACAGGATTTTAACACATTGCCTCCATGTCCTGGACTCTATATCTCCAGATGTTTTTAACCAGAACCTCATGCAAGCAAAGAGTAATGTTTTGAGTTAAGCAGGACAGTCTATAGGGTATGAGGTGAAAGCAGGAACAGGGGACTGAGTTGGATGATTGGTCACAATCATAGTGACGGCAAAGCAAGCTTTAAAGGGCTGAAAGGCCTACTCCTGCTCTTAATTTCTACATTTCTGTGTTTCTCCCACCAGAGGAAATGGTTTCATCTCAACCGATTCTATCAACCTCTTCAATCGTTCCAGTCTAATCTTCTATGCTCATGGGAATATCTAAACTCTCGTTTGCAATTAGAGAGCCATTTCACCAGCCCCTGGTGAATCTTACCAAGGCCTTCATGAAAGGGCAGAGTCCAGAAAGAGACATAGTCAACTATGGCATCACGCAGCCTGGGCATTATGGTTCCAACAGACTGTGCCAGTGGTGTCAGTGCCAGTTCCTTACATGCCACCTTCCTGATCTCAGCAAACATGTGAAATCCAGTACAGCAGTCAGAGTCATCCTGAGCCCTCTCTCACTCCCAGGAACAGACAGATGGCCTCCTTTCTCTTTTCTCCCTTTGACCTAGTGAACAGTATACTAGGAGAAGGAAGGGCACTGGTGGCAGGCGGCGGTGGGGTGTTGGCATATGGGTGGGAAATAGTTGCTTAAAAGAGGCAAAGAAATCTATTCCTGGTAACACAGCACAAAGTTAATTTTGTGGCTGTCCGGAGAGTGATTTTCAGATTACAAAACCTATTGGCGACCTTTTATGTTACATGCGAAACTCACTTTCAAATGCACAGATGACACAGTAGGACCTCATGGGATTTTTAAGATGCAACTAATTCCATGCAATTCACAAGACAGAATGGCCAAAAATGTCCTCTGTATAGCTGAGCAATGCAAAGCTAACTGCTATTAAAATCTGAGAGATAGTAAGAACTGCCGATGCTGGATTCTAAGATAACACAG